GCTCCCTACCACACTCAGGGTATGGGGGGAGCCTGTGGTCAGGGAGAGGGTGGACAGCGAGGGCGGGCAAAGCTGGGGCAGCAGCCTGGGCACGCATGCTTCTTTGCGTGACTTCAGGGCTGTGGACGGCACCCAGGGTGTCGGCCCACCTCGGGGTGACCACAGCTCGAGGGCTTATCAGGTGTGTTCCGCCATACCAGCCCGGGAGACCTGGGCTCTGCTTCAGCCCCACCCCTGGCCACAGCCCCTGAGTCCCAGAGGTTGTGCAGAGCTGATAGGAGCAGCTGCACTGGCCAGAAGGGCCACAGTGCACAAGAAAGGCTGCCAGCCCACGGTACTTCCAGATGCCCTCAGCCTCCTCTTCTGGGGGCCCTGCATGCTCGGGTCAGGCTGGCCTGGGGCCAGTGTCTCCTCCCGCGGTGACACACACGCACACGAAGTCGCTCCTTAGGGGCACTCCGGCAGCCGGGCGAGGAAGAGTGCGGGCACCTGTTCACCCCACACGCCAGTCCCTCCCCTGCCACCCGGCCCTGCACACCCCTGACTATTGCAGGGGGAGAAAGCTTGGTGGTCAAGGGCAATGCAACACCCCACAGCAGCCCCTGCCTTCCTGCACTTGGGACAATCATGCACATGTGCACGCACACACGCGAACCCACAGGCCTGGCCGGGGTCACGTCCAGACCCGAGAGCCCCTGCGGCCACCCTCCCTCCAGCACAGACCCTCGCTCACTTGTGATGTCGTACACCACCACAGCCACTGTGGAGTCCCGGATGTAGCTTGGGATCAGGCTGCGGAACCGCTCCTGGCCGGCGGTGTCCCAGAGCTGCAGCCGCACCTGTGGCAGGAAAGGCCGGGCGGTCAGCAGAGGGGTCAGCGGGGGAGGATGCTCGCCCCCGAGGGTGAGCTGGGGGCCGGGCCCCGTGATGCGGGGTCGGCCGGGCTCTCAGTGGTGCCCAGCAAGGGTCTCAGGGGACAAGCCCGCAAGAAAGCCCTCCCTTGTCCCTGGGTCCAAGACGGACACTCACTGTACGGTCCTCCAAGTACATGGTTTTCGACAAGAAGTCAATCCCGATGGTTGCCTGTCCGAGAAAAGCACAAAGTGGTCAAAACAGAAAGGTCTCATCAGAGGGCCAAAGCCCGGTAACCTCGGGCGGTGGCCCAGACGGCAGGGGAGGGACACCCACACCAAGTCTTAGGCGGCCCGGCCCCAACATTCCTTTTCTCCACCCACCCCTCAACGGCTCTCTCAGAGGGACCTGAGCTAGTGAGGGTGAGGGTGACGTTTTTAGCGAGGGACGCTCTTTGAAGGGAAAGAGAAAAGTGCTGCTGGGGGTCTGAGAGAGCCGTGGTAAGAAGGTCTCCCTGGGAACAGGCCACTGTAACAAGCACCTCCTGTCCCCCCCTCTAGGTGGGAGAGCCTCCCCTACAGCTCCCTAAGCCCCCCCCAGCATAGGCCTGGGTCCCCCCTGGCCCAGCGTTTGGAGGACGGGGGAGGACAACAGTCTGGTTTCCCACAGGCGGGGGCACTGCAGACCACCCCGAGCAGCCCCTCACTGGGAAACCCCACCCGCTCTTTTCTCACCAAGCCGACACATGGGGAGCCAACTGTCATCAGCCCCCCATGTCACTGCTCTGTTATCAACAGTAATGAAGGCTTGGACACAGTCTAACTGTCCAAGGTATCAGACAGGCATGGTGTGGTATGTCCATGTGGTTAGAATTCCTGGCAGCTGTGAACATCACGCTCTTGAGGAATATTTAAGGATCTGGGAAAATGGCTACTGAGTGGAAAAAAAGCAGGCTAGAAACCATCGTGGGGAGAGTGATCCCAGTTGGATAAACTCAGATGCAACCATGCCCCAAAGAGTTACAGACAACAATGACTAACAGAAATGCTTGAGTCTGTAGGACGGCAGACAAGAAAAGAAACAACTTGCTGAAACAGTGAAACATCCTCCACTTGCGAGATTAAAAAAGGGGCTAAAATCAGTTCAAACCAATATGGCCAGCTGAGGTTTGCACAAAACGAGCTTGCTGACGTCACAGCCTGAATTTCAACCCCGTTTCATACCAACTGCCCCCGAATCTGCCCATGTGATCTGTGAGGTAGCATGAAGAAATGACTGAGCTGCTTAAAACTTTCCAGCCCTCCCCTTTCCTTCCACCAATCACCGACTAACCCCCAAATCTACCCCTAAACCTTTTCTAATAAAATTACTGTTGGCCGGGCTCGGTGGCTTAGCCTGTCATCCCAGCACTTTGGGAGGCCGAGGTGAGTGGATTGCCTGAGCCTGCAGGTTCGAGACCAGCCCGGGCAACTTGGTGAGACCTCGTCTCTACAATAAATCAAAAACTTGCTGGGCGTGGTAGCGCGTGCCTGTAGTTCTGGTTACTTGGGAGGCTGAGGCGGGAGGATCTCGGGATCCCAGCGGGTCGATGCTGGGTGGCCATGAGCGTGCCACTGCACTCCAGTCTGGGCGACGGAGTGAGACTCCAATGCAAAAAAAAATTACTGTCTTAAAGCCAGCCCAAGGAGACAGATTTGAACTTGACTCCTGTCTCCTTTATTAGTCAACTTACAATAAAAAGCTTTCCTTTTCTCAAAAAAACTGGTGTTGGCCAGGAGCAGTGGCTCATGCCTGTAATCCCAGAACTCTGGGAGGCCAAGGTGAGAGGATCACTTGAAGCCAGGATTTTGAGACTGGCAGCACAGAGAGACCCCATCTCTACAACAAACTAAAACAATTAGCAGGGTGTGGTGGTACATGCCTGTAGCCCCAACTACTCAGGAGGCTGAGGCGGGAGGATTGCTTGAACTCAGAGGGGTGGAGGATGCAGTGAGCCAAGACTTCACAATTGCATTCTAGCCTGGGTGACAGAGCAAGACACTGTCTCTGAAAAAAACAAAGCAAAAACCCAGTGTCACAGTGTCGGTTTCTAGGGCATTGGCCAGTGAGCCTCTGGCTCAGAAACAGGCATAGAGGTCCCTGAGTACTTCCCATATTTTCTTTGGGGGTGAAGGGAGTCTGCTTGGAGCACTAATATCACCCTTGTTTGCAGAGTGACATTATGGGCAAGGTTTTTGCTTCCTTCCTTATACCTTTCTTATTTTCTACAATGAACATATCATAGTTCTGAAATCAGGAGAAAGTTCTGTGAAATAAAAATACAATAATGTTCAATAAACAAGCTTAACTGCATGAAAGCCTGAGCAGTGACTGCTAATTACGAAACACACAACCAAGGAAAGCCCAAGAAACAGAAGGTTTCTGTCTCCAGGCCCCCTGGGCTGAGAGAACAGACAGGTGTGCGTCAATGTGTGTGTGCAGGCGTGCATGTCACATCCCAACTCGTTCCGCAATGCACTCGGGGTGGCGTGCTTTATAATGTAAAGACATGAGCGGGCATTTTACAGTCTGGAGCATATAATTCTAGAACGTAGGTACTAGACCAACACCTTAGATGCACTCCCTCTTTGGAGATGAAGGAACGGACCAGAGAGGTCAAAAGAGATGCCTAGCATGACTTCACATATCAGTGGTAGAGCTGGAAGGTCAGTACAGGCTTTGGCAACACCCAGGCTCTTGCCAGTTCAGCTTTGCACAGTGTCCTGCCTGATGCAGCCACCTGGGAACAAGCCTAGAACTGACACGTGCTTGTAGACTCAGCCTCGTCCCACACTGGTGCATGTTAGACTGACGGTCCTTGTGTTCTGCTGCCCGTAAGGAAAAGGCACAGAGAAGGTAGCAGTGTCTTGGTTCATCAATGCTCCCAGGTTGCTGACTTCCTGCTGTAGAGTGACCACTGACCCAAAACCAAGTGCATGAGTTCGTGACCCTGACGGGCTCTGCTGCCTGTCTCCAATATGCAGACTTTCTATAGTAACAGATCTGGGATGTACAGGTAGACTCATGGCCACAGTAGATAAAGCCTGTCTTTTCCAGCTTCTTTTGCAGCTAGGTGGTTAAGGGCCAGGTCAATAGGAAGTGAGGTGATGTGTGTATCTTCTGGGATGGGTCCTCTGTGGGTGGGGAGTGTCCACAGTTGCCCCCTTTCCCACTGCCTGGGATGCAGATAGCTGGGAAGGAGTCACGACAGGCCATCCAGGTGAGGATGAGAGCAGTGACGACATCCGTAGACCTGACTTCCTGGCCCCAATGAGCTACCCTCAGCAGTGCTGGACTGCTTACACTCAGACTGCTGTGTGCCGGAGAACTACATTTCTCTTTTGTTGGGGTCACTGTTATTTAGGGTTTCTGTTAACACACCTGACTTTATTCTAACTAACAGAGCAAAGAACCATGGAGAACCACATCCCTCAAAGGTAGGTACCTAGGCCAGGTGGCTCATGCCTGGAATCCCAGCACTTTGGGAGGCCAAGGCAGGAGGATCACTTAAGCTCAGAAGTTTGAGACCAGCCTAGGCAACAGAGTGAGACCTCATCTCTATAAGAAAAGTTAAAAAATTAGTTGAGTGTGGTGACACCCATCTAGTCCCAGCCTCTCGGGAGGCTGAGGTAGGAGGATCACCTGAGCTCAGGCGGTTGAGGCTGCAGTGAGCTGTGATCATGTCACTGTACTCCAGCCTGGTCCACAGAGTTAAGACCCGACTCCAAACAAAAACAAACAAGTAGGCACCTGGATGGTGAGAGAGACATTATCATCGCCATGTTATGATCATTAATGTGACTATGACATCCCAATCTTACAGGTTACAAGATACTTCTGCTTCTAGAAGGGCAGAGAAGTCACCCAATGACAAGGAGGAAGCTCGGCACAGCCCATCCCAGTGGCTTCCATAATCATAAATACCATGTACGGAACACCCACATATTTGATCTCTATTATATCTCACAGGAGCCTGGCCAAAGAGATGGCAGTGAGCATGCGAGGGCTCAATGAGACCACCTTCCCAGCCCCTCAGCTCTCTCTTGCCTAGACTCCTGCTTCCAAGCTTCCACATCAGAGGAACCACTGGTCCCTTAACTGTGCATCTCTCAGACCTGTCTGGCCACACTCCCTGCCCGACCAGGTCCTAGCGCCACTAGCCCCGCCCACAGCTGTGGAGACAGGTGCCAAAGCACAGGCATTGTCTCTGGGTATGATTGAGCCATCAGCTCTGCCCAAAAACACATTCCTAAGTTTGGCTTTCAATAATGGCTGAATAGCTTGTATCCAACAAACCTTCCCACAGATAACTATTTTCATCTCTGGACAAACAGCAATTTGAAAGCCTTGAAGGGCAATCAAAAACAGGTGGACACTAGAAGGGTTACAGTCTCTGAAGGAAGGGAAGAGAACTAGGTCGTACCTTTAGCTAATTTTCCTGAGACAGCTCCCTCGTCCCACCGAGTTAAAAGGACTTAAAACAAAAAACACCTCAGGTGGAGGTATAGCTCAGGGCTAGAGCATGTGACTGCAAAACAAAACAAAACAAAACACCTCAGACCTTTAAAAAACACCTCAGACTTTAAAAAAAACAACACTCTGGAGCCCCAGAAGGACTGGTTTTTGGAAGAGTACTATGGTCTCAGGGCTGGGGCTATGCCAGAGGACTAAAGGAGAAATCGGCAGAGCTCCATTGTTATGGTCTGAATGTGTCCTCCAGATTCACATGTTGAAACATAATCCTCAATGTGACGGTATTAAGACTCAGAACCTGCTGGGAAGTGATTAATTCATGAGGGGTCTGTGCTCACAAATGGGATTAGTACCCTTCCTTATAAAAGAGGCTTGAGGGCACTCCCCAACCCCCTTCTGCCATGTGCGGACACAGCAGGTAGTTGCCATCTCTGATGCAGCGAGCAAGCCCTCATTGGACACCAAGTCTGTGGAAGCCTTGACCTTGGAATTCCCAGCCCCCAGAACTGTGAGCAATTTCTGTTGTTTACATATTACCCAGTCTAAGGTATGGTGTTACAGCAGCCCAAATGAACTGAGACATCCATCTTAACAAAGTCTATACACAACAGGTACCCATCCTCTAAAAAATATTAACTGCCCATAATTTAATTAAAATAACACTCCTTGGAGGAAGGTAACAGAACCCAAGACTCTCTACAACTTATTACTCATGTGGT